AAGAACCACCCTTTCCGAGGAGACATGTGGAAGGTGCAGTCGGAGTCGAGTATCCATTGGTCTGTTTGGTCCTGATTTGAAACTGTTAATGCCTTTGGTTCATGTTCATTTCCTAACACTGCTGCAGCTTCACCAGAACCTTTGCCATTTTCTTTCCAGCCATGTTCCTCATGATACTTCTTTCTAGTTCTGTACTCTTTCTTGAAATGTCCCTCTTTGCCGCAAAACCAACACATTATTTTCTGATTTCTCTTTTGGTTTTGGCTTCCCTTTCTTTTGCTTTAGTTTCTTTTCCTTTTACCAGAAGACCTTCTCCTATGTCGGTCTTGCCTTTTGCTAAGAATTCCAAATCTTTAGAGAAAATTGCAGAAGTAATCTCATCCCTTCTAGAGTACTTCATAGTATCTCTAACTGACTCATACTTATTAGAAAAAGAATTTAGTATGAGCATTACCTGGTCTTCTTATGAGATTTTCACTTGAAGTTCGCAGAGGTCTGATATTAAACTCTTGAAGACGTCAATGTTTTCCTCCATTGATTTCCCGTCTTCCATCTTGAACGAATTCAGTTTCTGCTTGAGATACATTATGTTTGGCATGGACTTGTTCAGATACTCCTTTTCCAAGGCTTTCCATATCTCTTCTGCCAGCTGTTCTTTCTTTACCTTCCTCATATTCTGATCAGACAAACACAGAAGGATCAGATTACGTACCCTTTCTACTCCTTTCTCTTCGCAATGTTCCCATCTTCCTTTGATGCTACTGCCTTTACATCAGTGCTTTCAGATTTATGTGATCCATCAGGTTCTTTAAGGACATATCCTTTTGTTAGCACCTCGTTCAATCCAAGCATCTCCAAACTTGCCTGGATTTTCTCTTTCCACATAGAGAAATCCCCTTTCCTACCGTACTTCTCCACATCGAGCTTAATCACCGTCGATGTCGCCATCTCTTCCAAGGCTTTCTGCTCTTGTGTCTTTTACGAGGCCTTTGATTCTTTTGGAATCTGTAGATTCTGCAACAAATCTACAAAGAAACATTACGAAAGAATTCACCAAAGATTTCGAATTACCACGCAAATCTTCATAACTCGGAAGAGGAATCCCTGAGCCGCAACCAGACTCTGATACTATTGTGAATGTTGATTTCATTGAGAGCGATTGACCTCGAATTGAAGAGAGAAAACGAAAAACAATGAACACACGAGTCTTTTACGAGTTCGGATCACTGTGATCCTATGTCTCGATCGAGAGAGTCTCGACAATCCACTATATATCGATTCGGTGTTACATTTCGAGAAGCTTCGCACACAGATTCGTGAGCTTTCTCTGAGAACAAGAGGAAAAGAAAAACTGAAGATTGGGATTCGCCATTGACGGAGCTCTGCTTCTTATACCAAGGGAAGATGATAACTGATCTAACAGACTCATTAACTGAGTCTAACAACCAAATCGGCCAAACCGAGTTTAATTCGTCCCAAAGTAGACCGGCCGCAATTCTCCAATTAATGACCCGAGTTTCGGTTTCCTACAACCCTTTTGCTTTAACCAGAGGATTTCTAAAATGAAATCTGATACAGAACGAGAACTTTAGAGCCTCTGTTTCTGATGCTTCAGATACAACTTCAACCACTGAACCACTAACTGTTGGGTCTCACTAGAAATTGTTATCAAACCACATTGAATTTCAGGTATTTTACTGCATTTTGAAATCATATTATCAAGTTTTGATAATTTCGTTCTCATTTAAAGTTTTGAATCTTTTGCTTACATATCTTTAGAAGTGTCAAAATGAACTCAACTCGCAAGTTGCCTCATTATCGACTCGCGAGCCTGACAAACTAGCTAGATGAGCCACGAAATGGCTCGCGAGCTGAGATTTTTTTAATATATATATTTTTATTTTATAAATAATTAATATTTAATTTAATTTTTATCGATTATATACAACAACAACAACATCGCCTTAATCCCAAGTTTATTTGGGATCGGCCGCATGGATTCTTCGTTTTCACTCATTTCGATTTTGCATTAGCTCTTTCGGGATTTGTAACAATTCCAAATCGTTTCTAATTACATGTTCCCAAGTAAGCCTAGGTCTACCCCTTCCTTTTTTCTTCACCTCCATTCCTATACCCTTCACTCTTCTAACCGACGCATCCATCGATCGGCCTATGTTGTACATGTCCAAACCATCTTAAACGTCCCTCTCTTAACTTCTCTTCTATACCTATTCCACTTACTTTCTCTCTAATAGCCTCAATTCCTAATTCTATACATTCTTGTGTGTCCGCACATCCATCTCAACATCTTCATCTCGACCACACTCATTTTAGACATAGGTTATCCTATGATTAACATCTTCATCGCAACCCCCATCCTTTTGAAGGATTGATCCTCCTTCCAAACTAACTCCTACATCACTAGAGCCCCTCCCACTAAAATCACAATGCATATACTCGGTTTTCGTTCTACTAATCTAAAACCCTTACCCTCTAATGTACTCCTCCATTGCTCTAATTGATCATTTACTCCTTCTCTAGACTCATCTACTAGCACGATATCGTCTGCGAACATCATGCACCACAGTACATCTTTATGTATATCTCTTGTCAATTCGTCCAAGACTAATGCGAAGATGTAAGGGCTTAAAGCGGACCCTTGGTGCAACCCTATCGAGATGGAAAAATCTCGCGTGTCACCCCCTTCTGTTCGGACACTAGTAGTCGCACCTTCATACATATCCTTCAACACTTGTATGTATCTCACTGATACCTCTCTACGCTCTAACACCCACCATAAAACATCTCTTGGTACTCGATCATAGGCTTTTTCGAGATCGATAAATATCATGTGCAAATCTTTCTTCATATCTCGAAACTTTTCCATCAAGTTACGGATGAGAAAGATTGCTTCCATGGTAGACTTTCCGGGCATAAAACCAAATTGATTTACGGAAATAGATGTGTCGCTACGTAAACGTCGCTCCACAATCCTTTCCCACAACTTTATGGTATGACTCATGAGTTTGATTCCTCTATAATTTGTGCAACTCTGGATGTCTCCCTTATTTTTAAAGATAGGGACTAAAGTGCTTCGTCTCCATTCATTTGGCATATTCTTCGACACTAGGATTTTATTAAACAACCTAGTGAGCCAAATTGTCCCCATTTCTCCTAAGCACTTCCATACCTCGATAGGGATATCATCAGGACCACATGCTTTGCCTACTTTCATCTTCTTTAGTGAATCTCGCACCTCTACACATCTAATCCTCCTAGTATAACTCACATTCCTTTCCCTAGTAATAGTTTCTAGTTCTATGTGGTCTGCGTCCCTACTTTCGTTGTATAGATCGTCGAAATAATTTCTCCATCTCTCCTTGATGTCTTCATCTTTAACTAGAGTATTACCTTCTTTATCTTTAATACATCTGACGACACTCAAGTCTCTAGTTCTCCTTTCTCTCTTTCTAGCTATCCTATATATATCGTTTTCTCTTTCCTTTGTCCCGACTCTCTCATACATCCTTTCAAAAGCCTTTGTTCTTGCTTGGCTAACTGCTTTCTTCGCCTCTTTCTTAGCCAACTTATATTGTTCATATGTCTAATTTGAATTACATTTAGGCAATTTCTTATACCACTCCCTCTTGGTCCTTAAAGCCTTTTGTACTTCTTCATTCCACCACCACTTCTCCTTTTTCGGTGGTCCATACCCTTTTAATTCCCCAAATACCACTCTAGCAATATTCTTAATGATAGATGACAAATCTAAACACATTTTCATTGGCTTCCTTATTCTCACTCCACACCTTCAATTTTAACATCTCCTTCTCGAATAACTCGCTCTTTTGACCTTGTAGATCCCACCATCTAATTCTAGGCATCCCCTTCTTCCTTGGGCAGATAGCTATTTTCGTGATCTTGGCATCTAACACTAGCAACCTATGTTGACCAGTTAGAGCTTCGCCCGAAATAACTTTACAATCCTTACATAGAGTATGATCCGACTTCCTTGTAAGAAGAAAGTCGATTTAACTACGGTTTTGCCCACTCTTGAAGGTCACTAGGTGCGATTCTCTTTTCTGAAAGTGGGTATTTACTAATATGAGGTCATAAGACATGGTAAAATCTAGGATACGTTTCCTTTCTTCGTTCCTACTCCCATAGCCAAACCCCTCCGTGTACCATTTCATATCCTTGTCGATCATTTCCGACATGTCCATTTAAATCTCCATCGATAAAAATAGACTCTTCGGACAGTACACTTTGCATAAGGTCATCCATATCCCCCAAAACTTCTCTTTACACTCACTATCTAATCTTATTTGTGGGGCATAAGAGCTGATCACGTTGATAGTTTCTCCTTCTATAACTAATTTCACTAGGATGATCCTATCACCCACTCGATTTACTGCAACTACCGAATCCTTCAAAGAACTATCTAAGATAATGCCTACCCTATTCCTATTCCGTTCTTGACCCGAATACCACAATCAAAAACCCATATTACCAATCTCCTTACTTTTCTCTCCTACCCACTTAGTCTCCTGGATGCAAGCAACGTTCACTCTCCTTCTACTCATTGTGTCTACAAGTTCCATCAACTTTCCCATAAGCGTTCCGATATTCCAAGTACCTATCCTAACTTTTCGTTCCACCGAGGCTTTCTTACTTTTTATCGATTATATATGAACACTTAATTTTGATATTTTAATTTTAAATTCCGTATTAAAATCTAGTTTTATTTGATATATTTTATAATCTAAATAAAAAATATTAATATTATTATTGGTTCGCGAACCAATTCATTTCATTCGAGAAATTGGCAACACGAGTTGAGCCAATGTTTTTCTAACTCATTTGAAAATGAGTATGGCGAGTTGAGTTCAAAATGAGTTGATTAGTCACGAACTGAACCGAATCGAACCGGTTTGTTTGACATCCCTTACATACCTGTTCCTTGTAAAGGCTGTTAAAGTAGATGCACGGACCAATGTGCTTGAATCCGAATAGTTTCTTGTCATCGAAGGGAACCCTAGGCACAATGTCATTACTGTACACAAATCTCGCGTACTTGAAATCATGCTTTTGTATAACATCCTTCATGAACTCCTCGAATGTTTCATCTCCAACCCTAGGTTGTCCGAACGTGTAAACTCCATCAAGCCTTTTCAGCAACTCATCCTCGTCGTGTAACGCCAATATCGCCGGGAACAAAGCGGCTAAAGCGCCGCCGAGGCTATGACCTGTCACCAGTAACGGACCAAGAAAAATTTATAATTGGGGACAAACTTAATTTTACTATAGGATAAATTTAATTTTTATAGGATTATTTAAAAATTTTATATAAAAAATAATTTTTTTAATTAAATGAATGGGAAATGAATGTAAGCCTGCTCATGCCTGTCACTATGAACTTTGATGCCTTGTCGTCCTCGAACAAGCCTCTGAGCTTTTGTCTTATGGTGTAGTAAGCGTATTTGTGTGTGGCTTGGACTATCTCCTTCGGCCATCCGTTTATCTGAAGGCCCAATCCTTTCATGAACCCTCCATGAACTTTTCCCATCACCTTCACATCGTACCTGTTTGCAAAAGCCCACGCACGCACGTCATTAGAATCCTTGGTCTGATCTAATTCGTTATATGCGTAGTGTACCCGAGTTACATGTTTCATGTTTATTTACATTTGTTAATAAACCATCGAAACCAACTAGGGTTTAAGGCATCGATGTAAAACCGACCATCTCGGGCCAGATTGGTCCGATCAGCCTGTTTTGGGCTCGGTTGCTGCCCCTTTTTTCACAATCCAAATTTCTTGTCCCGATCCAAATCGCTTCAATTCATGCGAGGTTGCGAACCAAATAAAAGTTGTGTGTTATGCAATACCCAACATCACTTTAATAAAAAAGTTGAATATATATTTTCTTGTCTCGCGAGAGTGAACTCATGGAACAGGTTCGTGACGAGCTGGTTCGCCATATTTTTTTTCCAGGCTCAAAATTTTTAAATCCAACTTGATAAAATATGGATCGATTTGCGAGCCCCCTTGCCGACAGACTCGTTTTTACGCCTCTAGTTTAAAAGCAATATGTATCATGCAATACCCTTGCATAAAGTTTTATAATATGGTGTATTTAAGATCAATTTACATAGGAGAAATACCAGTCGATATCAAGATCCGTGCACCAGTCATCGACATCAAAAGGTTCTGTTCCTCTGAAGCTGACAACAACGAGGTTGGAATTGGCGGTCGGGAGCTGGAACATGAAGGCTTGTGTTAAATTGCCTGCTTGGTACGCTGATGAAAGGGCGAAAAAAAAACGTTTTAAGTCATTTTCTAAATTGAAAAATGTTATTTGAGGTAATCATCGTACATATTTAAATAAAACTCGTTCCATTCACCCAAGTTTGGGTGGCCTAGTGGTAAGAGAATATCCAAAACATGCTCTTATTCTGGGTTCAAACCCAAGTGTAGGAAGGGCAGACTTCCCTGGTCTTCTGGGAGATATAGTTGGACCAAAGGTCCGGTGAATTTCCGGATTATCCAAAAAACCAAAAAAAAAAAACTCGTTCCATTCACGTTTTTGGCGGCTGATTAATATTCTTGATGTGTCTCGGTATGTCCTAGGGTTTTCCTGGTGACTGGATTTTGAATAAAATTCGTAAACTTTTATAACAAAATCAATGAAAAATCTAAAAAGTACCTGAATTTGTCAATTTTGACAAAATAAAATTTTAATTTTGTTTTTTATGAAATAAAACTTTGACTTGATTGTTGAATTATAAATAAAAATAAACTTTATAACAGATGTCATTTTTATATCGATCGCTACATAACGTACCGATACCGGAAAATGTGGATGATGACGTGTCAAATATAATCAAAGTGTTGACTTGCAACATAGGATATCGATACGTAATGTCAACATTTAGGTTTAAAAATGAAATCTATCAATAGAAATTTATGCATTGAAATCAGTAATTAGCATAATGAGGATCATAAACTTGTTAGTTTCATTTTATCCTCATGCCTTTTTAGGGTTTTGCTTTTTATACTCATCCCATTTTGTATTTATTCTTCGGTTTAGGGTTTCGTATAAATCATGAACGCTTTGTTTCTAGTTCTTGACTAAGAGAACACGTATTTTAACGTCACCAATAAATAAATAAATAAATAAAATATAGCAATTAATTTACCATTGTAACACTCGAAAAACCCCAAGTAATCCATCTGCAGTATAAGAGAGATATAACAGTGAGATAAAAAAATGTCGGTTAATAATTAATCCATAATTTATATATTTTGGTTACATATTCATATAAAAATAAGCACCAAAAGAACAACCGATACACAACTTGGAAAGGTTCAAAATGTATTTTGGTGGTGAGTCATCTCGATTTAATATATATATATATATATATATATATATATGTTTATATCTTTAGCAATTTAATCCATAAGTCTTGATCTCGAATTGATTTATTTATTTTTACATTTTATTTTTATAAAAAAGGTGAGAAAAAACAGACCTTCCATTTTTCTTTCACCACAGAAGTGATGAAGGCTTCGCTTTCATAGGCAATCTTAGAAGCCATAATTGATAACATGGCTTTGTACTCGTCCGTACCAATGCTCATCTTCTCATCTAGCTCCACTCTCATGTCCGTGGATCCGATCACCGATGTATATGCAGCCGACGATTTGTCGGGTCGGTTGACCGTTTTTCCTGTGCAAAGATGTCATCAATCTTCGAATATTACATGTGAATCGAGATGAAACTCGAAGATTATTGTATACTTTTGTTGGTTAGGGAAAGTTCTACACTTATCCTTGGTTCTTGTCACTATAAAGATGAAGTATCATATTGAAAATTCTTCAATCTTAATTAAGGTATTTGAATGTATTAAAACGTAGGGTTTGCCGAATAAAGCATTGTATTATGTAATCAGCCAAATAGCATATTATATCTATCTATCTATCTATCTATCTATCTATCTATCTATCTAGAATAACCTAATCTCACTAGAATACCATAAACTAATCATATTAAGACACTAACATTAATGTTATTAAAAATATAATTTCATAATAGATCATTCTAACTCTCCATAATTCCCAATGGATTCATGTGGTATTTACTTACTAATATCACAACCAAATCGTGGAGATTTTTTGCTCCGATTTTTCGGATTTCAAGGAATGATATGCAAAACGTTTTCTATAATGCTTACCCGTCAATACGCGAAGTATCAACTTGAAGAGACCACCATTGATATCGACGGTATTAAGCCAAAAGGTAAGCCTTTCTCCTGCAACTGCAAAGGGTTTTCTCATGGAAATGAGGACTTTCTGAAGGAAGACGGTGATGGCGATAATGCATCTGGCCGTGAAAGTTCCTTGGCTGAGTACTGTCTCTGACGGACAATCTATGAACTTTATCTTCGCTAAATCGGAGGTAATCAAAAGGAGAAGGAGATCAAGAAAGCCTGCCTTTTTTGCGTCCACCAAGAAATAGTTACTGCAGAATTTCATTTCTGTTTCGGACATTCTTGGAGAACTTTAATCAGAAAGAAATGTGATCAAGAAGAAGAAGAAGAAGAAGAAGAAGAAGAAGAAGAAGAAGAAGAAGAAGAAGAAGAAGAAGAAGAAGAAGAAGAAGAAGATGATGATGATAATGATGATGAATGGAGGAGGAGGAGAAGAAGAAGATGATGATGATGATAATGATGATGAATAACTTGAACTTGTCTTTGTATCCCACAATGAAATTAGGTTGGCTTGTAATATGCGATAGAGTGGCTACATATTTATTCCTACTTGTAATATCTGTTTTTTTTCCTTTACCAAAAAATAACTTCTTAGTTAATAAAACCCTCAAGGTGACGAAAAGACAATGTTGCTCACTTTTTTTTTTTAAATAGTTAGTGCTCAGTAAAAATCACATATTAATATATGAATTTATAAAAAAAGCAAATAAAAATATACGAATTTTTAAAATTCGTAAATAAATACACAAATCTAACTCCTACATTAAAAAAGTCTAAAGTTCGTATATTTATATGAGATTTTTTTACAAGCTCGTATCTAATATATAATTTCCCCTTGTATTTATTATTTTATTTACGATTAGTTATTCGAGCCTATAATTCAATAACCTGCATTAGGGACTGAAAATATAGGATTTTTGAAATATTATCAAAATTTTTAATAATTCTAATTGGAATTATCGACACGAAGAACAAGACCCATAGTCTAGTCGGTCCTAGAGTTTCTCATTAATCTCATAAGTTTATAGAGATATATATACTGGTCGAACATAATTAATACATATATATATATATAAATAACTTTACCGTTTTAACTATTTAAATTAAAAAAAGTATTAATTTTGTTTATATGTTCTGACAAAAGAAGCTAATATTTTCTATTTTTCATTATATTATATTAAAATAGGATAATAACTTTTTTTTTATAATTTCCGTAACTATATATATACATATAATAATAACTCAAAATCCTACAAAAATCTCTAAGTAGTTAATCAACATTTAAAAGCAAAAGGGAATATTAGGTCGTAAATCTGACCATTATCAGTGAAATTAAAATAGATGAGCAACAAATGTGTGCTAATTAATTTAATTAATTTATTGTTGTCACCTATAGAGAAAGTCGTACGAAGATTTCAAAGCTCAAAACGGAACGTCTTCCATTATGGGCAAAATTTTCCGTCGAAGGGCTCCATATTTTTTCTTCTTAATTAAGGGGAAGAGCATTTACTTTATGTTTCATTTTATTTTATACTTTAATTATATTTTAGAAAAATATCTTATAAATTACCAACTCCCAAATTTATACATAGACTTTAAAATTTGGAAAAAAAATACAAACGTTCCCAACTCTCAAACAATTAATTTTACAAAATTCCAAAAAAACTACATGACACTTGAAATCGTTTTTTTTTGGGTTAAACGATAAATTTGTATATATATATGTTGTCCGATTACACCGAGTTACATCCAAAATAGAGCAAAAGAGATGATGAAGTTAGGAGTAGGGGTGGGCGATCGGGTCGGATCGGTTTATTCGGATTCGGTTATTTCGGGTTCGGGTTATCCGGATTTGGAATATTCATATCCAATCGGATATATAATCCTAATCGGTTCGGTTCGGATTTTTTCGGGTTCGAATTGTTGAAATAGGAAAATGAATATGTGATTGAAGGAAATATTGATTTTAAGATATGATTAGAAATAATAATGGACATAATATTATATCAAATATTGTGTATCGATCTTATTTATTTCTATTTCCTTTTTATTTCGTCTGATAGTTTTCCTATAAATATGAGTCATTTTCATTGTAATGTAACAAAAAGAAGAGATGTAGTAATAAAAGTGTTCTTTGTTTTATTTTTCTCTTCTTTTCTCTCTTTTTAATTTTCGCATTTTATTTCTCAATATGGTATCAGAGCAGCGTTGCGTGTTTTTCTTTTTCTAATTTTTTAATCTCTTCTTTTTTTGCGTTTTGGATGTTCATATATAAAAATCGTTCAAATAGGAGTAAAAAAACCAGATTCAAACGATGTGCTATGACAAAAAATAAGTCAAAGCTAAAAACTCTAAAATCAAGCAAGATGCTATGACAAAAAGAGTTAAAGTTAGAACTTTAAAGTCAAGCGAAGTCATTTGAAAAAGGTTAGTATTCTCTAAATGAATGAAATTTGGTGTCTATGAATTGTTCTAATAACAGTGAAGTTTTTCATCATTTTGTTTTATCTTCAAGATTGATTTTTGAATTCTTTCAAAATCAATCTTGAGGGGGAATGTTGAAATAGAAACAAAATATGGAGATTTGATATGATTGATAATAATTAAAGGCATAATATCAATTAAGAATAAAATATATATCGTGTCAATTATATTTTGGCTTATTTGTTTCTTTGGTATCTTTATTTCCTTGTTTCTTTCAATAAATTTTCCTATAAATATATGGATTATTTTCATTGTAATGTAACAAAAAGAAGAGATGTAGTAATAAAAGTGTTCTTTGTTTTATTTTTCTCTTCTTTTCTCTCTTTTTAATTTTCGCATTTTATTTCTCAATACGGATCGGGTTTATCCAAACAAATATTCGATAAAAAATGGTCCGGGAAATGTCTTACCGAAAATTAACAAAAACAATATTCATAATGTCATTTGTACCAAAAACAAACTAATATCAATAGTCTTGTATAAAAAAAAAATATAGACCCCTTTAACAAAAAAACAATGACAAAATAAGAAATACCTTGTTGAACTTTTTTCGGATGAGACACAAATCACCTTGTTCCAAATCACCTTGTCGTGACGGTTTCTGAATTTGAAGTTGATTAAAAATTTGAAGGTAATTCTTTTCTTTTGTCACGAAACGATTCTCCGACCTTAACTAGAATTAAAAATCAACAAATATAACAATCCTACAAAAATTCACAAAATCAACTCCTAATAAGTACCTTCGACAGAACTGTAAAAGCATGAGAATGTGGAATGAAAGTGTTTTGTAAATGATTCTTCTCTGCATTTCATTAATGCTAAAGGGTTCTCTTTATACAGACTGTATAGGGTAAAAACCTAAAATTCCTATCTGAAAAAGTAAACCAAGAAAACTAAACAAACCAAAGAATAAAATCAATGAACCAACTAATTACGTGTTGTACCAAGCCAGAGCAAGAAATTAAACCATCGTGTCTCTCTCTCTCTCTCTCTGTAATAACACAGAGCTTCCTTCCACTCTCAGCAAGCTAGAGGATGAAGAATTGAGGTTCTGTTAGAATCACAATCTAAAAAAAAAATACAACTTAGATTACATGTTAAAAAAGTACAATTTGGATTCGGACTCAGTTTAGGAAACCACGGACAAGCAATAAGTTTACCATGAGAAACTCGGCGAAGTAGATACGGGCCCACGACAGGGCTCGACGGAGACTTGAGGCAGAGACTGACGATTCTAGTAGCAGAAGCAGGGCTTAACGGAGAGGAGCTCGTTTTCGATTCTAGCAGTAGAGAGTGAAGACCCAGGCGAAAAGAAGCAAAGATTGGCGGAACTCAGAACTCTTCGGAGATGAGAAGCTCGGCTTCGATTCGAGCAGCAGAAGCAGAGCTCGATGCCTATGTAGAGGAGAAGTTCGGTTTCGATTCCAGCAGCAGAAGCAGAGCTCGAAGCCGATGGAGAGGAGACGCTCAGAACTCGACGGTGCTGGGCAGAAGTCGAGACTGCAACAGAGGAGACGACACTGAGATGGAGGAGACGACGCCGAGACGGAGGAGAGGACTCAGACGAAGCAGGCTTGGCTCGGCGATGGAGAAGACAAAGTCACGAAGCTGCAGCCGCGGAAAAGGAGAAGACGAAGGCAACAACCGTCGAATGAAAGGATAATAAACCCTAAACCTAAATAATTAAACTAATTTTAAATTAAAATCGGTTATTTCGGATAATCGAAACCGATCGATTATTTATCCGAACCGAACTGATCCGATCGGTTTTTAAACAATGGTAACCGATCGTTATTTCTGCAACATCCGAACCGAACCGAAAACCGATTAATCGGATCGGTTTTACCGGAACCCGATTAACCCGATCCGTTTGCCCAGCCCTAATTAGGAGAATTACAATCTATCAAAGTATTGGAACTATAAGCTAAGATAGATTCACCAGGAATATCAGTATCCAAGTCGGATTTTCTATCAAGCAACCAATGGAGAGGGCTTTTGATCATCTATCGATAGCCGAACACTCTGTTGTTTGACATAGTCATTTCTTCTGCATACGTTCCAACAAAAAAGTTTCATCATAGCTTATCGTTGTACCAGAAAGACAAAAAGTGGATAGATATTTGCGGTGAAAATCATTTGGCGCGACCCTTACACTTACGACCCTATGTGACCACTGAGAGGTTAGGGGGACTTTGGGGCAATAGCCGACCTAGCGTGTAACAATCGTTGGGCTTCTTGGACTAGTTCGTCTTCAAAATCAAAGGTATAACTCACCTTGGATCCACGGGTGTGGCCTAATTAGAGGTTTAACAGACTTCAAAATTTCTGGAGATTGTGCCTTTGAGGGAGGGGTCAGATGAGGCGGAGGGGGAGCCTCTGAGTTTAAAGATGCAGCCTTCGGTTGAATAGTGGTAAGGAGTGTTAATGCGGAGACATGGGAAGTTGGCTCAGGGAAAACTGGCTCAAGAATAGGGGAAGTTGGTCCAGAGGAAGTTGGCTCAGGAGTAGGGACTGCCGAGATCGGAGTTGAAAGTGGGCTACTTGGGGGGGTTTCCGTAGACGTAGACTACTTCAATGGAGGGTTCACAACAAGTGCGTTCCTAATCTGACTCCCAACCGGTAGTTAGGGAGCTTGTGGTCAAACTCTTCGCATTACAGCCATGTAGGCGGGATCCATGAGTACTTAACCATACTCGGATAACGCTGCCATTCTCATCCTCTACTTCTACCGCCTCATGGAGAGGTGCACCAAGTTGAATCTTCACCTTGAGTCTAGACTCGCCAATACTCAGAGGGTCTAACCGCACTTTTTCAGTGTGACGGGACTCATCTATTCCATTAGCTATATAGCTGATGCCTTGGAGAGAATA